CAGCATCACCGACTGGACCATCTGCCGCACGTTTGGCAGTCTTCGTCTCGATCTGGATCAGGTTCTTGAGCTCCACGATCGTCTTCTTCATGTGCTTCACCTGCGTCTGCAAGTCGTCCAGCACGTCGTGCGCCTTCTGCAGACGCTTCTCGACTCTCTCCAGGGCCTCCTCCTGTTTGCCCATATGTGAGGCCCCTCGCACTGCACAGCATAGTCAATGTCGTCGCGAACTCTAGGACGGCGTCGTCGTAGTTCTCGTTCGCGTCGAGCCTGAGGATAATCGTATTCAAGGCCTCGAGCCTTGCTGAGACTTGCTCCTTGTAAGCATCGGCTTCGGCGTCGGACGCCTGAGGACCAGGCGGCGCCTTCCAGCGAGGATGTTGACGAGCAATCTTCGGCGGAGCGAGACGGATATGCAGCAAGTCCTTCGCCGACTTGTATTCGTCGCCGCCCTTGAGGTCCTGCTCCAACTGCGAGGAGCTCGATGCCACCTCCTGGGGCTTGGCAGGGCTCAGGGTGCCACGAGACGGCGAGGCCTCGCGGTGAGCAAGAGCAGCTGTGCCCTTGTCCTTGCCCCTGCCCTTGCCACGGGCAGCAGCACCATCGCGAGGAGGCGGTGCACTGCCAATTCTGCGGGGATGGGAACGTCTCCACGGAGGTGGCTCGGGCTTCACATTACCACACTGGCGGCAATCCACGCGCTCGTGCCAGTCCTAGCAGTAGCAGACACCACAGGACCATGGGGATCCTGGCGGCTTGGTCATCGCACCTGGCAGAACGAGACCACGAGGTTGTCGACTGTGATGCCATTGCAGCAACTTCTTAGCCGCCGCAAGGCGCAGTAGCACACGGGCGTCGGCGCGACTCTTCTATGGCCCTCCGGTGCCACGCGGGCTCTCCACCCCTCCCTGCGTGGCGATGGGGTCAGCGCGGCCGAGAGGCAGCGCTATGGCGGGCTGCGGTCAGACGGCGCGTCCAGCAGCTGTCCCGAAAGTGAGGGGCCGCTACCTGGTAGCACCCAGGCCCCTCTAGCCGGGACGGCGGCTGGAGGAGGAGGAGGAGGAGGAGGAGGAGGAGGAGGAGGAGGGAGGAGGCAAGAGGAGCAACACGAGGAAAACGAGGACGAATTTGAGGAGGACGAGGATTAAGAGAGTGAGGAGGAGGACAAAAGGGAGGGGAAGGAGGAGGACGAGAAGGAGGAGGAGGAGGAGGAAGAAGAGGACGAGGGGGGGATCAAAACGAGAAGGGGGGAGGAGGAGGAGGAGGAGGAGGAGGAGGAGGAGGAGGAGGAGGAGGAGGAGGAGGAGGAGGAGGAAGAGGAAGAGGAAGAGGGGGAGGATGAAAACGAGGAGGAGGAGGAGGAGGAGGAGGAGGAGGAGGAGGAGGAGGGGGAGGGGGAGGGGGATGACGAGGACGAGGACGAGGAGGAGGATGAGGAGGAGGAGGAACATGACGAGGATGAGGACGAAGGATATGGCCGTGAACGAGAGGACGAGGAAGAGGAGGGGGAACATGACTAGGACGAGGACGAAGGATATGGACGAGAACGAGAGGACGAAGAGGAAGAGGAGGATGAGGAGGAGGAGGAGGATAAACAGGAGGAAGAGGAGGAAGAGGATAAGGACGAGGAGGTCGACGAGAATGATGACGATGATGATGACGAAGACGAGGACGAGGAAGACGAGGAGGAGGACGAGGATGAGACGGCATCTTGCGTGCCTCGGGTGAGCTTCTTGGGCCTCTTGGGGGACCGCTCAGAGGGGGTTCTTGGGTGCCTTTCGGGTGCCTCTTGGAGGCTTCTGGGTGCCTCTTGGGGCGCTCTTGGGGCTCGCTTGGGGGGCCTCTTGGGAGCCCATGGAGGGCTTCTTGGGGCCGTCTTCGAGGCGGTCGGTTACAAGAGGGGGGGTCCTCGATGTCTGCCCCCCCCCCCCCCCCCCCTCGGGGGCCAAGATCCTCGTGATGGGGTGTCAAACATTGGCCCTCCCACTAGCAGAAAAAGGACCCTCTGGCGCATCGGTCCCCCTCAAAAAAAACAGGAAGGACAGGGGGAGGCTTCCCCTCCCCGAAGAGAAGAGGGGCTGTGGAAGAAACAAGAGATCGCCCTTAGACCACCTGTCGCCCAAAGGGCTGGTGGGATGTTGGTCCGATGGACCACTGAGCGACCTCCCAGGAGCCCGCGCCAGTGCCCACAGTTTCGCCGCTCGCAGGCCCCAGGAACGGCGAGGCCCCAGGAACGGCAATCTCGCGAGGTACGGTTTCTCAGTTGATACCCGTATCCACAGCAAGGCATTCCACGAACCTCTCCAACTTGGTCATCCTCGAATGCTTCACTGGTCAATTTTTAGTTTGATTCCAATATTCAATCGTTTACCTAGCGCGGTGGTGCGAGCTAGGTCAGTGAAGGGGGTTCAGCGCTCATTGCAGCGTTTGGCCAAAGACGCTGCCGTGTCTGGAAAGCGTGTGTGGCACCAGCTTTTCCGCCCAAGCTGACGCAGCCGAGGGAATTCATTCATAACGCTATTCGTGTGTTTCATGAGGGCTTGTCGTAAAAAAACCTGGTGCGCGTGCGACGTCGCTCCGTTGGACCTCCCAGGAGCGCAAGAAAGTGCCGACGGTTTCGCAGCGCGCAGATCCCACTGACGGCGAGGTCTCACCCCAGCGTGAGAAAAAAACGTCATTCCGATGGACCCCCAGCAGCCCTCGAAATTGGCGACAGTTTCGCAGTTCGCAGCCCCCCGTAACGGAGAGGTCTCATTATGATGTGCGTAGGACGTCAGCATGTTGGACACCGTTGCAGTCTTCGAAACTTGCGACAGTTTCGCAGCTCGAACTCCTATTGACGGCGAGGTCGCGTTCTGGTGTGCGTAGGACGCCACTATGTTGGAGCCCCCGTTGGCCTTCGACAGCGGCGAAAGTCTCGCGGATCGCAGCCCCTGGTGACGGAGAGGTCCCTTGCGGATGTGCGTAGGACGTCGTTGTGTTGGACTTCCCAGGTGCCCACGAAAGCGGCGAACGTTTAGTAGCTTGCAGCCCCCAGGGACGGCGAGGTTTATTGAATCGCTTCGCTCATTCCGCCGGCCCGTGATATGGCATCGCTGGTTTTTGTCTGTGTGTTCGTTGCCCATGTTGCGCTCTTGGGGGTGGGTGTCGTTCGGACGCGATGCGTGGGGAGTTTTGATGGTGAAGCAGTTCCCTGGGGGTCGTCTCTCGATGGGGCGAAATAGAGTCGTCGTCAAGATGCTTCTTTGGGGGGCCTCTTGGGGTCTGTTGAGAGGCCGTTCGGGGGCGCCTGGGAGACATGTTTGAAGCCTTCTGGGGCTTCTTTTGGGCCTCCTGGGAGTCTCCTGGGGCCTCTTGGCGACATCTTGGGGCCTCTTGGAGGCCTCTTGGGGCCTCTTTGGGACCTCCTGGGCGCCTTCTGGGACGGAGGGCTCCATTTTTGAGTTCTCGGTATCCCTCCTGAGTCCCTCTTGGGCCCGTCTTGGGGCCTCTTGGTCCGTCTTGGGCGGCACTTGGGCCGTCTTGAGGGCTCTCTTGGGTCGTTTCGGCGCCGTCTTGGGAGCTTCGTGGGCCGTCTTGGAGCGGTCTTGGGGGCCTCTTGGGCCGTCTTGGAGCGTCCGGAAGCCGAAAAAGCCAGAACACAAAAAACATCGAAAAAACCAATGAAAATCAACGATTTTGGCCTCTTGGGGCTCTCTTCGGAGGCCTCTTGGAAGGCTCTTGGGGCGTCTTGGAGGCCTCTTGGGCTGTCTTGGGGGCCTTTTGGGCCGTCTTGGGGTCATCTTCGGCGTCTTCGAGCGCTCTTTGGGCGTCTCGGGGGCCTCTTGGGCAGTCTTGGGGGCCTCTTGGGGCACTCTGAGCGCGCTCTGGGGAGCCTGAGAGGCCGCACCCAGAAGGAAAACCATCTCTGAGTAGACTTGGTCGGGCGGCGGTCGGGCGGCGGTCGGGCGGCGGTCGGGCGTTGGTCGGGGTACTTTTCGCCGGGTGACCCCCAGGGGCCGCCCCGCGCGCACGAACTAGAAATACTGTTAATACTGTTAACCAGTTACCGGAGATCTTAGCACGCCCTGGCCCGTTGGGCCGGCGAATTTCTGATGTGCGCAGGACGTCGCTACGCTGGCCCCCCCCCAAGCAGACTTTGAAAATGGCGACGGTTTCGCAGTTCGCAGCCCCCAGTGGCGGCGAGGTCGCATTCTGATGTGCGCAGAACGTAACCATGTTGGGCCCCAAGCGGCCTTCGACGGTTTCGCAGTTCGCAGGTCCCTCCCGGGGACGGCGAGATTTGTTGTGATGCGCGTGGGATGTCACAATGTGGGAGCCCCCCACCAGTCCTGGAAATTGGCGACAGTTTCGCAGCTTGCAGCCCCCAGTGAAGGAGAGGATTCATTCTGATGAGCGAGGGACGGAGAGGTCTCATTCTGGTGCGCGTAGGACGTCACTATGTTGGATTTCAAAGAGACCTCGACATTGGTGACAGTTTCGCAGCTCGCAGCCCCTAGGGACGACGGGGTCTCATTCTGGTTTGCGTGAGACTTCAATGTGCTGGAGCCCCCAGCAGCCCTCGAAAGCGACGACAGTTCGCGAGAACGCAACACAGGAGGGTTGATAATATGGCAGGGCGTAGGAGGCAGGAGGGAGAAGGAGGGGGAATGAGGACAGTTGTGGAGACCATTGTGCTCTAGTCAAAACGAGAACCCAACGCAAGAAGGCAGGGGACAAAAAGACGTACATAGAGGGAGGAATAAGTGGGCGGCGTAGAGGAGGAGGAGGAGGAGGAGGAGGAGGAGGAGGAGGAGGAGGAGGAGGAGAAGCAGCACGAGGATGAGGAGGAGGAGGAGGAAAAGGAGAACGACGAGGAGGATAATAAAGATGACGATGAGGATAATGACGACGACGACAAGGACGACGACGACGACGACGACGACGACGACAGTGACGAAGAGTACGAGCAGGGCGAGGCAAGAACCCCACCCCCTCCCTGCCCGCGCGTGCGCGCGCAGGCAGCGGAGCCAGGGACCGCGGCGACCCTGACCGCCCCCGCGAGCGGGACCGGCGGCAGGACTTGCGCGGTCGCCTCGGTTCGGCGTGGGCCCGGTGTGCCCACATCTTCTCGTCCGTATCGGCACTCTGTGACCGCCCGCTCCTCGCCCAGCACCCGCTCTGCCGATCGGCGGCAGTGCATCAGCCTCGGAGGAGGGAGGGCCCACTGGGCCGAGGAAGGGGGCGACGCAGCCGAGAGAGGTCGGCTACCCCCCGAGAGAGGTCGGCTACCCCCTCGTGGTGTTGGCCAGGTCCTTTCAAAAGCAGTTCAGAACTCATTTGGAAAAAAATATCTCGATCCGCACCTTCGCGTGGAAGACGCCGGCGATGGCCCCGCGCAGGCCGCGCATTCACTCCTGGCTGCGGGCGCGCGTGGAGCTTTCAACCGTCTCCGCGCAATTCGCTCGCCGATTACGTCTTTGCCCCCTCCGGGGTTGAGCACACTGCCATTGTGGCCGTGAGCCCTACCGCGGCGACAGGCGGCCTTTTCCGAGGCTGTGGCATCATCGTTGCCGCCTCGGTGGACGCCGTCGTGACCCCGCGCCCGCCCGAGCCCGGGGCCCGCACCGACGTGCACGCGCGCCAGCGCTGCCTTCTCCTAGACGCGCTGGGAAGTTTCCATCGGCAAGCGCCATCTCGGCCGCACCGGCGGTGCCAAGCCAGCGGGGCCGCTCTGCGCGCGAGCTGGCGCGTGCCAGCGCGGCCGCAGGGACTCGCGAGCTAGTGCCAAGGACATCCGCAAGTGTGGCCTCATGCGCAGTTCAACATGTTGCGGGTGTAAGGGTGGGATGTTTTCGCGAGCGGTGGATTTGACGATTCACGGCCCATAGCCTGCACATGGCTTTGACTTGAATCGAGTGCATCCTATACAATGCAGAATGCAACACATTTGGTGCGCTCGACAATTGCATCGTGTAGCTTGCAATACAATACTTGGATCTCGTCAGCGTTCACCACACAGTTTGCAAGGCGTACCTAAGTGTCCCGTACAACGCAGGCTGTACCCCCATAGATTGTGACACACCAGTTGTATCGCGAAACATGCAACACGTGGATTGCTTCCCGTAGGCTGCGCATAATAGTTTGAAACGCACGTGTTGAATTACAAACAAGAGTGGGCACTCAAAGGACAATAACACATTGTTTTGGGCTCGCGCTGTCAGCCATCTGGTCCGGGATATCCAAATGATTAGTAAGGGTGGCGATGCAGTGGAGATGTGCGAAGTATATATCGACGGTTGTGGACACAGCTTCACCCACACCGTTGGCGCAATATTGCGGCGACGATGTCAAGTTGACATATTGTATTATGTCATTGTGCATGGTGTTTTTGCCCCGCGGGGACAATCCACCCTCCTTCCCCGTCCTCCATGTGTTCACACATCCTTTTCTCAGCGCCGATGGGAAGATGGGTATGCCTTCGGATGTGAGGTGGGAGCATTATGAAGAGGGAGGGCGGGAAAAGGTGAGGTGAGGAGACGGAAGAGGAGGACAGGGTAAAGAGGAAGAAGAGGATCGAGAAACCGAGAGAGTATGAAGACAAGTGAAGGATGGTAAGGGCTCGGTAAGGGTAGGGAAGGGAGGCTATACAGTTATATCTCTCCCGTTCTGCCCCGTCCCCCCCGAACGATTATCCTCCTTCCATCTCCCCGCTCCACCTCTCCTTTCTCTCCGTTCCTCTCCCCTCCACCGACCATCTCCCCCCCCCCACCAGCCGTCCTCCTTTCCCCTTGCCATCAAAATGCCCATCGGACATCCTAAAGCCCATTCCGACCAGGAACTCGATGCGGTCCAGCTTTGGCGACGAGAGACCGCCGGGAGGCCGAGCGCACGCCCTCCTTGGAGGCCGATACAGCATCTCTCCCCCTTCCAGCGATTAGGGAGGGAAGAGGAAAGGAAAACCCCTGGAGAGAGGCCCGCTTAACGGACAGGCGACGGGAGGGATTTCTCCCCCTCACCCATTCCTCTTCCATTCCTTTCCGTTCTCCTCCTCTCCCTCCCATCCAACTCCCCCTCTTCCACTCCTCCCTCCGTGAAGGGGCCCTTCGCCGCGGTCAGGCTCTCCCTCGAGCGCGTAGGCTGGCAGATCATCGACGGCAGCACCTGGCTCACGCACTGCGGCGACTGCATCTGCATCTTCGAGACCTCGCCCTGGGTCATCAAGCGCCTCCTCTGGATGGCGGTGGAGGCGTGGCAGTGGCGACAGGTCGGGCAGCGGCCTGGTCTTGCCCACCTGGCTGATGGGGGCATCCTTGAGCCCATCGTCAGGCTCACCAACGCGGGGGCGGTGCAGCGCAAAGGGTTTTTCGGCCGACAGGTGAACTACGTCGACGGTGACGCTGATGCCGCCACTCCTCGGCCTGTCGTTCGACCTGCTGTGCCCACTGAGGTGGCGGCGCTGCCTTTGGGCAATGGTGTAGAGGCTGGCTCTGCTGCGTGCGGCCTTTCTGGTCCAGCTCTGGCTTGCGTGCTGGGAACGGGCTACCTAGCGGTGGAGGCCAGCGCCGCTAATCTACAAGCTGCGCGCGCTGAAGCTGGAGATGGATGGGGTGACCTCATCAACGACCTGCTCGGCCAGGTGGCGCCTGACCCCCCGCCGCGACCAGACCCAGAGGGCAGAGCACCGCTCGGACCTGGGCTGCCTGCTGGAGACGCTGGAGCTGGGGCCTGCCCAAGCGTCGCGTCTCCACGGCAAGGTGTGTCGACGGTTCCTCAGGGTGGGCTGGCGGATGCTGCCCTTAATGACGCCGCTCCCCCGAGTGGCGCGCCTCGAGGAGCTACGGGACCCACACCCAATGCCGGTGGCGCGACGCCCGCTCAGAAGGCTAAGGCGATCCGACTCGCGCCCAATGAGTGCGGCTACCTCGCCTCGGTTATCGTGGACGGCCAGTGGCCTCAGCGCCGCAAGTACCTGAATGGCTACGCCGCGGACGACAAGTGCTTGCTGTGCGGCGACGTCGGCACGCTGCTGCACAGACACACGTGCTGCGGTGGATGGCCGCCTGAGCTGAGGCTGCACAGCAAGATCCGCGAGCTGGCGAGCAGGGCCGTGCTCGAGGAGGTGGAGTGCCTGCTGGAGCGCGTGCTGTGGCCTGCGCCCCGCGGCATCATCAAGCCGCCTCGGCCTCCTGGGCTCAGCTGGCTGGGCCAAGACGTTGGCGGCATGTTGCCGCCTGGCGACGTGTACCTGGACGGGTCCGCCTACGAGATCGATTTCCAGCAGTACACGAGCGTCGGCTGGGCTGCGGTGGTGCTGCAGGAGGGCGCGGACGCCTTCCGCACGGGCATCTCGGGCACGCTGTGCGAGCCCTTCGCCGACATCAGCGGTGGTGAGTTGGCTGCGCTCATCGGCACGCTGCGCCACGCCGTGCCGCCCGTCAGGACCATCGTCGACTCGAACTTCGTGTTCAAGGGTGTGATGGAGCACGGGCCGCTGAACACGACGCGCTGGGGCTACGCGTGGGCCCACCTCTGGCGTGAGCTCTGGAGGCTCGTCGAGGACTCTGGGGGGATAGGCCCGCAGGGCCTGACCCTCAAGAAGGTACCTGCGCACGTCCCGAGCCGCCGTGTGGTTGACGAAGGCATCATCACCGTTCGCGACTGGATCGGCCACCGCATCGCTGACCAGGCCGCGAAGCGCGCGGCCGAGCGCGCGAGAGTCGCGCCTGAGGCCCGCCAACGCCTGCAGTCGGCACGGGAGCTGGTCGAGGGTGTGGCCATGTGGGTCTCCGCGGTTGGGGCCGCCGTGGGCGGGGACGACACCACCCACCGCGCGGCGAAGCCCAACAAGGCAGCCCCACGAGCAGCGCTGCAGCCCGCTGCTGCCAGGCTCGGCTGCGACCTCCGTGGGCCGCCTGGAGCGAGTGCCCTGGCTCGATTGTGACGTCCGCCCTGGACCACAATAGGAAGCTGCGGGCGCAGGGCGCCTTGGCGCACGTCATCGTGAAGATCGAGCCGCAGATCGAGTCCCAGCTGCAGCGCGAGATGCCGCTGCTGGCCTGCCTTGTCTGCGGGGCCACGGGCGCGGCGAGGAGCTCGTCATTTCCCCGTGCCTGCGGGGAGTCTGGTGCCAAGGGCAAGCTGGCGATCGCCCGCCTGGCAAAAGGCTTCGCGCCAGGCGCCGCTGGCCGTGTGGCCATCAAGATCGTGCAGCTCGGCAACCACGGCTTCGAGGACGGCGACTCGGTCATCGACGGCGACGTCCTCGAAGGGCCGCGGCCCTGAGGCGCGCGCGGGGGGAGGCTGCACCACATCCCCGCGCGCGCCCTTGGCGGCGGCGAGCTGCTGTACGTCGCGGTCGGCCTCGGCGTCCGCGAGCGGGTCTTCTGACCCATGCCCGAGCGCGTGGGGCGCGCTCGGGCGCCAGCGCGGCCGTACGCCCGCGCTGATGCGCGCGCATCATCCCTCGTGCTCCACATCCTACGTACTCCTCTCCCCTTTTGCCCTCCGCGCCATCCCTTTCTCCCAGCCACCTCCTCCTCCCATGCCTCCTGGTCCTCCTCCCCCTCCCCTGCCTCCTCCCCTGCCTCCTCCCCCTCCTCCCCCTCCTCCGTAGACATCTTGAATCGAGCCCTGTCGGCCCGAGTTGTCTCGGGGGTCGGCGCGCGCATTTCGAAGGGGCTCGGCGCGTCGGAGCCTGGCGCGAGGCGAAGCCACGGCGGCTGCATGGAGGCTGCGGCGGCTCGCCGTGTAACCCTGCAGGTTCGTCAGCCTGGGTAGTCGAAGGCCAGACTGTCAGATTGGATTGGGCCCCAAGGGCCAATCTGGCTTGGCCATATTGGAGGATTTGGGTTATTCGCCAGACTGGATTCGCGTTGGCTCCCTCGTCAGATTGCCCCCGTTTGCCAAATTGGGCCTGCCAGATTGGCGCCAGATTGGCTTCGACTACCCAGTCAGCGCATCTGGTGGGCGGGCTGGCGGACGTTTCATGCTGCTCGTGGTGGGGCAGGTCGCCCGGCTCTCACGGGAAGTGTTGGTTCGCGAGTCGTCGGTTTTTGTTTGTGTCGCGGGGAGCGTCGAGGAATTGGAGGATGCTTGGTGGCTCGGCCGCGGATATTCGTCTGGTGATCCAACCGCTCTTCATGTGACATGTGTGATGCTTGATCTGTTCGGGGACCCGTTCGGAGGCCCAGGATACTCGTTCGTCGTGGACGTAGAGTAGACCTGAAAGGTCTTTGTTGTCTGAGGTTGGGGAGGCGATGTCGAGGGTGGACTCCCTCCCTGGGCGGGGCCTCATCTGGTATTGGCCTCCCTTGCGTTCGGGGGGAAGCTGTAACCAAGAGGGAGCTTCTGTGCCCTTGTCGCACTCTGCCCTCATTCCGCGGGATGCGAGTGAGCTTCGCTCCATCTTCTATTTCAGCCTATACCAACCACCTGGATGATGAGGAGGAGGAGGAGGAGGAGGAGGAGGAGGAGGAGGAGGAGGAGGAGGAGGAACCCTTGGAGAGGCCCACATTGAGGGCGCAGCAGACTCCGCCCCGCCGATGGCCGCCGACTGCCGAAGACGACGGCGACGACAACAACGACTCTTGTGGCGGCGAACGCCCCGCCGCCGCCCCGCCGAGGACAGGGACGCCGACAGGCGCCGCCCCGCCGAGGACAGGGACGCCGACAGGCGCCGCGAGCCAGACAGGGGCAGGGACGACCGCCGTCGCGCAGGCGCCTCCCGCAGCTCGCAGCTGCCGTCGCGTCGTCGACGCCGCCGTCGCCGCCGTGTGCGACACCGCCTCGTTGCCCGCCGCCGCCGCCCGTGGCCGTCGCCAGCCGTGGCCTGTCGTCATCGCCCATCGTCGCCGCCCGTCGTCGTCGCCGCCGCCGTCGCCACCGTGGTGGGCGCTCGTTGCTCGTTGTCGTCGACCGTCGTCGGACGATCCGGGGTGGAATCCCCGCAGCTCCCTCGGTGCAGTCAGGGGTGTCGAAGCGTTTGCCGTGGGGGGTTCAGGGATGTTTGGCGCGCAGAGGGTCGTCTGTCTTTCTCCCGACGATGTTGCCCTCGGAAGGGTCTTGTGTCCTCTCGCGTGTCCTGTCCAATCAAGGCCGACTGTATTGACAACGCGTCCTCTCCGCTCATCCCCCCTCCCCGCGCTCCCCTTTTCCCTCGTCATCGTGCACCTTTGCGCCACGTCACCGCCGTCGTCGGCCCGGGCTGCGACGTGGGCGACGTCGACGGCGGCGGCGACGGCGGCGGCGACGGCGGTGGCGGCAGTGGCCGTGGCGGCGGCGCGGCGCGCCAGACCGCGACCGCGGCGCCCCACCGGAGCGCGAGCGGGACCGCGGCACCCCGGCGGAGCGTGAGCGGGAGCGCGAGCGGAGACTTGGCGACCGGGATCGGCGCCGAGATTACAGGCGCGGCGCCACGCACGCGCGCGCTCGCGCGTGAGCGATGCGGTGCCGCCAGCGCCGACGGTGACTCTCAAGAACGACAACGGCGGCAGCGTCGACTTTGGCGATGGTTTTGACGGCGACGTCGCTGACGGGGCCGCCGACGCCACCGACGCCGCCTCCGTCGAAGAAACCAGCGCTCAGAACAACGACGACGGCGGCGGCGGGGGGGGTCTAGGGCGCTCTGGGTGGTTTCGGCTGCTGGGGGGGAGGGGTGGAGGTGGAAGGATGAGGAGCTTGGTCGATATGGGGCGCAATGAGGAGCATGGCTAGGTATAAGGCACGAGGGCAGTCCTGTGATGCTGTATTGTGAAATTGCTTGCGTGTTTCAGGGGCCTGTGGAGTTTTAGATTTTGCGGAAGGCTCTCGAAGGATGGTTTTCCCCAACCATCTTGTGGCGTTGGCTTCACGTTGTGAAGAGACAGTGCCCCGCGTCGTTATTATTCTTCCTGCTGCCTGCCCCTCTCACCCCATCATCATCAGCATCATCAGCATCACCATCAGTATCAATTTCATCATCACTATCGTCATCATCATTATTCTTATTTCAATTATTATTAGTAGTAGCATTATCACGATTACTAGTATTATCAATACTAGTACTAGTATTATGATTATTTTTTCGTATTATCGCCATAATCATCATCGTCACCATCATCATCATCATCATCATCATCATTATCATCAACAGCATCATCATCATCATCATCATCAGCAGCAGCACTATCATCATCATCATCATCACCATCATCATCATCATCATCATCATCATTATAATCATCATGTCCATCACCAGCATCACCATCAACATCCGTGGCGATTGTGGGTCAACTTCGAAACCAGAAGCCTGTGGCTTCGAGCTTGATCGCAACCAGAGGCGTGGCTCAACAGCCGTGGCCAAAAGGGGGCTGTTGATCCACCCTATTTCATCCAGCGCGCGCGTTCCTGCACCCCGTCCTCTCCTCTGACTGCCTGCAGCCACGGCTGTCGATTTTGCGAATTTTACAGGAGATGCGTGCACCATCAGGAGACAGGACTGATGCTCGACTACAAGACTTCGGGGATCATCCGTTCGGGTGACATCCGTTCGGGCGCGTCGACAAGCACCCCAGGTGAAGGGCGCAGATTTTGCTCAAAGATGCAAATCGGTTCCCCGCTCACGGTTTCAAGGGTTTTTTCTCGCAGTATTTCGAGCGAGTTGCTTTGGACTTGGACATCACTTCGAAGAGTGTCACAAAGACAGCAGGAGGACTGGTGCGTATCCGCGCATGATCTTCATGAGGAAATCACGTTCGACTCGTCGTGGCGCCGGAACTCTCTGACAACTTTTTAGGAAGTTCAATGACCAGCTGACCAGTCCTCGGGTCCCTGCTGACGGGTAGCCCGGTCGCGTTCGCTGTAATCTTCCTCAGCGCCGTCTGTTTCTCTTCAATAGGTTTAAGGTTCGTCATGCCGCCCTGGAAGATCCGAGCAAGCAGGGTCTTCTGCTGCATCCGAACGAGGTCTGTGGGGGTGTCTTTGGGCTTCGTTTCAGGGAGGACCCCGCCCCGCTGTTTCATCTCACTTGCTGCCCGCAGAATTAACAGGTCGCTCGCGTGTCCCAGGATGATGATAGGGCCCGCGCGCACGGGCTCAAGCCTGGTGCGCAGAAGTTCCGGAATGAGTTTGAAACGTTTCCCTCGCGCCCTGTTCGGGGATGAGGCAGACGGGTTAGTTTGTTATAGTTCTGATTTGGCGTTGGGCCCAGCTTTGTAAAGAAATGTTTGACGCGGAGGGCTCGACCTCTGGCTGCAGTTCAGCCAGTTGCTCTCGTCCGCTTCTCTCCGACTCTTGTTCGCAGAAGGGCAGCGCCCTGTCGTTGTTCTGGGAAGCGTTTTTTACTTGAGATTCGCTGGCCTGGGCACTGCGGCGACGGCTCTGGATGGCGCCGCAGGGACCGGCACCTGCATGAACACCATGTTCGGGAATATCTTCGCTGGGCAGACATGCGCCGACCTAATCCGACTCGTCGATCGATGCACACTGGGGCGCTGTTACACGCGCGTCCTCCTGACCGTATTTATCTCGGCCAACGTGATTGTCATCCGCTCCGCTACGTCTACCGCATGCCACGGTATCGGCCAGGCGAATATGTCGGGCCATATTGCGGCGTTTGCTTTGTGCTGGGCGGATTCGCGCCCGGGCCCCCGCGCAGAGCTCGAACTCCCAGTGGAAGATCTGGGCATGCCAGCCCCCGTTCGATCGGATCGCTCCGGCGAAGAAGTGCGCGCGGAAGGCCCGTGCCCAAACGAAGAAACAGATGGCCAGTGCGTTGGTTGCCAAGGTCGCTGAGGAGATTCACCGCGCTCTCGCGGCATCGCGGGGGGCGCGCGATCCGAACCTCCAGAGAGTCCCCCCCGCCCCTCGCCGCTACCTGTCGTTCGCTTGGTTCATTGGTCTCGACGCTGGTCATTCCCGTTCCCCCCCGAACCTCTGCGGCCGCGCCCAGCCTCTGCAGCGCGATCGCATGAGCCAGAATGGATTAGGGGGCAGATCAGGAGTCCGAGGCTGAAGCGGGGGCCTATCTTTGAGCCGGGATCCAGTGGCATCGCGAGTTGTGGCGTCAATTGAACAAGCGGATCTTTTCGAGCTCGATTTTGTTTCCGCGGGCGCTTTCCTCTTGCCCCCGGGCGCCCGCAGAGGCGCGCGCGAGCGCGCCGTTCCGCGTTCAATCGCGGGGCCCATCAGTGCGACGAAACCTGCTGACCTCACCTGGGTGGCGGCGTGGCAAGCGCAACAGGGGGCGCAATGGATCACTGGCTCGTGGGCGCTGATGATCTCGAGGGGGCGTGTCATGGCCGGGGGAGATCTGTGCCCAGTGCAGATTGCATTGTGTACTCTTGCAGAAAAGCCCCCGCCCCCGTGGCAACTCCCCATGATCTTTGCCGTCTCCTACTCGAGTGGGGGGGGGGCTGCCGCCGCGCGAGAGATGATTCTGGTCTGCGTTGCTGAGATTGACCAACCCACGGATCTCACTCCCCCCCCGTCTCTTCCACCTTGCGCCTGCCGTCTTTCTGCAATTGCTGACGTGGGCTGCCGGATTGCGTCGCTGGCGTTCTCTTAGAGGTCGCTGTTGCAGCTCGCGACGCGGTTCCCAACCTTCAGGCGCGCTTGGACGGGCGGCCCATGATTGATCATATTCTGGAGGATGGAGCTAGGGGGCTGCGACGCCGCATGACTGGGGGGGCCCGTGGGATTGCAGTTTGTTTTGTTTTGTTTGCTGACGCGCTCTAGTCGAAGAGCTCTGGGGGCGTCTGGCTCGGCTGCGCGCGGCGGCGCCGCGTCGAGCTCCAGGGGGGCGCACGGGGCAACCTAGCGCGCATCTCTTCGCCCCCGCGCCCGCCCCGCGCAGCCGATGGTCGGCCATTAGACTTCCGCGACAGATCTTGGAATGCCCCATGATGTATGGCTTGGGCTTCGGAATGTTGCCCAGGAGCTGCCAATTTTCTTTTTCCTGTTTGGATGTTGGGTGCTGGCCTTGGGCTTCGGCTTGATCTCGGGATGCTCGCGCTGAGGCATTGCTGCGCCCCTCCGAACGGTTCGGGATGCACGGCGTCTCTGGGAATATTCTGGGAACGACGCCGAGGACGTCCCAGTCTATCGTCATGCGAGGTACCTGGGAGTCCATATCGGGCCAAATTGATGGGGCGCTGCCTAGAGACCACGCCTGCAAAGTATCCACGAGGGTCTCGTCTCGGGCGGGCAATCCGTATCAGAGCATCGGCGGTGAATGCTGTCACTCTTCTCCGATATGTGACGCAGTTCTACCCCGTCTCGAATGAGGCTGTCAGGGCCGAAGATCACGCGAGCCAGAAGCGGATGGCCTGTCATGCGCGCGGGGCTCTGAGTCGTGGGACTGGACATCGAGTTGCCTGACATAGTCATTATTGGCTTGGCGACTTCAGGTTCGTCTCGCGCGCCACTTTGCTGCCCCCTCGAAAGTTCGCCCCCTCAATGGGGACCTAGTGGCACAAGATGTTTCTCACCTGGCCGCGAGCGGTCTCCATGGTGGCATCGCTCTCTTGCGCATTCAATGGTCATGGCCCGGCAGTCTAACGTTCTTCTCTTTGAGAACAGGCGGGCGGCCTCAAAGTAAAGTTGCGTCGTCGTCCGAGGGCGCGCGCCCCCCATTCCTCCCCTTATCGGGCGCCCCCCTGATGCGCGTCGCCCCTTGGCTTCCGGGGGCGCGCGCATCTCATGTGTTTGAGAGGTTTGTTCGGGTCTCCCGCGAGGTTGTCCAATTTCGCAGTTGTTGCCTGGGGGCGGCCGTTCGCCGCGTCGCGACTCGGGGCGTCCGCGCCGGTGCTTGATTTCATCGTGTCCTTGTTCGTTGTTGCTGGACAGATGGAATGGAAGGCGCCAAGGGTTCTCTGGGGCATTATGCGGCATGGGTGGACTTTCGTCTTTGTCGTTCAGCTCTCGCTCCTCGCGTCGTCCATTTTTGGCCGCAGTTCTTGGTTCCGACGTTTCGTTCTCGCGTTCTCGCCACCGTGACATATTCTGCGCTTGATGTGTGCAAGCATGGTAGATGCTTCCCTTTTTACCCAGGCTGGCAGTTGCCCCCCCCCCTCCCCCCCTTCCCCCATCAACGTTGGTAGGGCCCGATTTCGATAGCACGGCTGGCGCCGCCCCAGGGTTCGGGCCGCCTGGCCAGGGAGCCATGGCTGAGAGATGGCCGCTTACATACTCTATCTCGGGGGTGTAGAGTTTCTCTTCTTTTTCCTCTTGATCATCTGCAGCGCGGCCGTCGATCTGGCGACGCCGATGGAGATGCTCGCCGCTTATTTCCGCGATGAGACCTCGGGCATCGTTGCCACCGGCGGCGTGGTTTCCGCTCCTCCTGCGCGGCGCCGGCTTTCGATGAAGTTTACTAGGTCGGGAGCCCTGAGACGGGGGTCAATGCAGACGGGGGTCAGCCAGGGCGC